TGCACATTTCTTATACTATCTACATACATATGTATAATATCAGTTAAAATAAGTGCTTAAAGATACAGTAGTTAACATTGCAGGAAAGCAATATATTAGTACTTTGTCAGGCTTAATATTTATACCCCCAAACCTTTTTTCTTATTCAAAATAAGACCTTAACCTAGAGTATTCTTTAATGTTTAAATAAAGCTTTATTAGTTTGTCTGTCTGTGTCTCCTATTAATGTCTAATAATAAAAATAATACATTTCAATAACGTGCTTTAACCACCAGGTGTCCCTTTCTATCAGCTGTGCACCGTTATGGTGTAAATATACCAATATACTGATTGGATCAAATATAAAAGTCAGCCGAATTAGTATGGATACTGCGAGGAGACTTATATTGTGAAGAGAAATTGAAGTTTTTCTTTAATTGCTGATATATTTATGATCCACGTCACTTATTCAGTTTCGGCGGCAGTTCTTCCTATTTGTCTAGAAGTCTTCTCATCAGGGCTCTATAAATAGCGAACTACGGCAGATATGTAATATTTAATGCAGCCGAACCGTGTATTACAATGCCGTTATGTGATGACCTCCTAAGAGAAAAGCAAGCAAACTCGGAATAAAGTATTATTTTTATTTTTTTAAATGTTTTCGGATTTCACATCAACAGGATAGACAATACCCCAACCCATAGATCCGTGGGTGAATAATGTCAATCACCACATTACACACATCCCTTCACATTTACATTTTAATTTACATTAAAGTATTTCGTGACGCCTTCTAACATGTTTTTAAATATAACTACGGTTGTAGTTGAAGAGTTTGTAAATTAACATGAACCGAAGCTGTTGCCTGGCTACTCAATCGCACAACGGCACGTCCATTAATTCCACAACCACGCATATGGATTAACATCGATTTAATACATTAATGTAGCCTTTGTTTCTGCTAAAAGTGGTGTCAACCAGCTGGGGCAACAAGAAAATCGGCGTAATCGAGTTTGACTATTAAAAAATAAATCATTACGTCGGGGTAGCATTTGCTTGGCATTTCCGGTTATTTCTCCACTGGTTAACATGGGTTAAGAATACCGTTTAGCTGTCACGTTTGAAGGGACGAAATCATGACATCTTCACGTCTCCCAGCATGGTAAATCGTCACATGTTCACGTCTTGCCGTGATACCGGATTGGAAATAATATCTACACATGAGCAGCACATTTTTGGAATGAAGGCATTTTCACAAACTTTTAGAGCCAGTGTAGCACACTTGGACATACAAAGGACTTATAAAATCCTTTTACTTCGTTATTCCATTCTGAAATATACAAGTACGCATTCACATGGCCCGGTCTAATAGGTGATGTCTTCACATTAACATTCATTTACATTCTCCAACTTACATCAGACATAAAATACCAAAAGCCTGCTTACAATTAACCCGCTAACACATTAACTATCACTTTCAGCAATTGCTATTTAGTTACAATACAGGCATTAGTCCAATTAAGCTAGCAGGTGACACATTGTATCACATATTGCAACCTTTAACTGGTAAAACTACGACAAAATACAATTTACTTTACCTACCAAATAATGCATTGCACATGAACATATCAGAAAAGTATAGGTTATTAAAAACAAAAAATACATTAAGAGTGCTTTTGCAATGTTAGACAGTTTCATGTCCATTACCAAGCCAACTTGGGGTCCCACACCAGCGAAGGCAACACTGTATCAAACATAAAACATAAGATTAATCTGTGATATAGCAGTGATTTTCTTTAGAATTGATGATTGCTCAAAATGTGTAGGAGTAATTGTTGAAAAAATATTTTAATATTATTTAAATAATATTTTTCCAATATGGCGGAAAATGTAGAAACAAATTGGCTCTGATTAAACGGAAAAATGCACCTGGACCCAAATAATTGAGGGAATAAAATATTTACTTTGTGGAGAGGAAATTGATCACAATGCCATATCTGATCAATAAAAGATCCTATCCTATCCTTTTTGACCTTGCACACAGGAGCTCCTGACTTCAGTTTGTCTAAGACCCTTGACGAGAATGTGTAAAAATAAAATCAAAGTGACCGTTGATGTGTTTTCCAGGCGGGAAAGTTCAGCTTCATCGTGTTCATCATCTACATCGGATCAACGCTGTCGTACTACGCTCTGGTGAGAGACCACAAAAGTGTCCATTCATGCATTTCTACACAATGGCCGTCAGTGTTGGAGTATACAAAAGTGAGACTTTAAATGGTGGACGCATCTGGACTAACCGAATGAATTTCACTACAGAAAAGAGCTAAATAAGCTCAGTATGTGAGAAGAACACCACAGAACGCAATTGGTGGAAATGTTGAGAGTAAGAGCTGTGGCTGCAGCAGAAACAAAGTCTTATTTAGAATACATTTGTATGCAACAAAACAGATTCCACTGTGGACTTTGGTGCATGATGGTCTCCGTTCAGAGATGAATCGTTCAGTCAGAGTGAAACCACGTTAGGAAATCATGGAGGAAGTGTCTGTGATGAAACTGATGCAGATGTTTCCCAGTCTGGAGTTTGACTTTATCTCTCTCTACTGTCTTTAAACCCCTTTTTATAAAGCAATATTAGGATCAATAAACACCATCACTAGTGTCACTACAAAAAGTGCACCTTATGCAGAATGGGCTATTTCAGAATATTGTTTATTATATTACTGGTGTAAATGCATGTAAATGGTCTTTAAAGGCCAAAATCCCAAAGTTCCCAGAGAATTGTGTAAGTGATCAAGTCAATGCAGGAGTCTATTTACATGTACATAGAATAAGATATACAAGAACAGAATGTCAAATTAAATATTGTACAGTGAAATTGTAGTGAAAACTATTTGAATTTATAAATTGTAACAACTGAATGCTTTAGGTTATGGAGGCACTTAACAGAGAAATGGTTTTCTCATCCTCTTAAATTGATACAGGCATATTTGTTTTAAACTCAAATCAGAGGCAGCTGGAGGATTGGAAAGCGAATTGGAAGCAGAATGAGTGTGTTGTACATGAAGTGTAAAACTCTCCGTCTTATTCTCAAGACGACTTTGATGATCGACTGGCTGATTGGAACCAGATGTTACTCTGCAGATGTCGGACAAAACTACTCCGAGAAGAAAGTGGAGTCAGTCCAGGACAAACAGAAGGTGATGAATGGTTTAATACAGCAGATGATGTGGTATCATATAATGTTTCTGTGAACCCATTGTTAAAGTGTTTTCATAATGTGTGTTGCAGTGCATTCTCTGCGTGTCTTACGTCGATGAAAACAATATCCGATTGGTGAAGATATCACAGAAGAATAGTTTACAAGACATCACACCGATATCTGTCCAGTCACACAAGGTGAGCCTGCTGCAGACGCCTGAATAATAATACATAGTAGTGGTTCTGTCCTAATAATGACATTCAAACAGTGCAGTGGGAATATTTATAGACTTACAAAAAGCATTTGACACCATAGATCACAATATTTTACTGATAAAACTGGAACGGTATGG